AGCACATAAAATTTCAACTTTAGAATGTACATAAGGACCAAACCTCAAGAGAAAGTGTGTGTGTTTGGACCACTCGCAGAGCCTCTTCGGTGGGACTACTGTATGTAATCTTTCTTGCTTAGTAATATAATACTACCTTGGAGCACATATTATTTACTCTTTTAGAAAAATAAATGTGTTATGTTTTTGGGGGGGATATACCATAAAAGATAGTGTCCAAATTAAACCGGGATGGATGAAGTATATCTAATACTCCCTCCGTCCTAAATATATTTATCATGTATAGAATTTACATGCATTATATATTGAATATGTAATATTTTGAATTTGATAGATTGCACTTATTTTCAGTGTAGTTATGTTCCACTGTAGTTACAGTGATATTACTTCTTTGGAAAGAAAAAATGGAAGAAATTTTTCATGTTTTTCATTGTACATATTATGAAGACTATATTTCAAGTATTTATTGAAGTTTGGTTTCTTTAAGGAGTATTTTAAAGGACCTCATTGTACAATATACTCCGTATAACTTAATATATTTCCTGCATTCCTAATGTTCAGGGCTTTCATGGAAGAGTCACTGCTTCACTGAGAATACTAAATGGGTGTGAAGAAGCTGTCATAGCCTATTGATCTCTTAGTGGATAAGGGAATGCAACTCAATAAAAAGATCAGGAACACCTGTAACATCCTCCCACGATATACTTCAGTTGAATAGGATGATCAGATAGGTAAATCCCCGCTAACTTACAAATCTATCTACTTGAAAGGGCCTTAAATGTGTGCTAGTAGACCTGGGTGTAAACTTAACTACTTCCAGGCCTCCAGGATCTGCTGAAGGAGATGCTTAATACTTAATAGAATGAGCTTGAACTATGTTGAGCGAATTGGATGATCGGGCCGAGGTACAGAGATTCCTCTCCCTTTGGTCGTATCTCTCCCTTGATCCTAACCCTCAGCAAAAGGGTTTTCATAGGGAATTATCAAGAGACATGGAAAAAAGTGTGGATAACACACATTTGAACCTTTAGAGGTAGTCACTTTAGTAGTTGCTAACACTTCTCATTGAGCCTGTATCAAACATGCATTTTGTTCTTTGTGGGGCTGCTTTACAAGATCAACAAACTCTTTGTGATTATGGTTTTCAAAAGTGAAGGTAAAGCCAAATGTTTTAGTTTGGAAATCCCAACCATAATAATCATTTTAGATGCAGTAAATACTTGAGGGATAATATTGCAAACAATCAACAACTATGATACACAGTATTATATTACTTTATGCTACTCTCCACATATACACTGAGTAAAATTATACACACAAACACACACACACACACACACAAACACACATATGCACACAAACATACATATAATACCTTCTTTGAGGATGACTCTCCAACTTCCTGGTAGTATCTAGGTTGGAAAAGACCATTATCTTTAGGTTATTAATATTTTTGATTTTAAGGACTTATGGAACTTTGATAGCTTTAGGCTATTAACAACATTTTGGTTTAAGGGATTTATGAAACTATGTTCCTGATTTTTCCTTGAATTTTATGGTTATTTTTTGATGATTTTAGCATACTGTTTGAGTAAGGTCATGTACATTAATTGGCCTCTCTATCTTATATATATATATATATATATATATATATATATATATATATATATATAAAGTAAGGTTAATTAGGTGTGGGGCTGACACATTGCAATCCACATAGATGCCTATTTGGCCCGTATTTCCTGACTCATCAACTTCAATTAATGGAATCATATTTCATCCATTACTTCCGAGGGATCTCTCTAGAAGTTCTTTAGACGTTGGGAAGCGGCGATTCAATAAGCCAGACCTGAATAGCCGCTCAAATTTCTGCTGAAGGGTTTGAACTTTTAGAGTTTATGGGCTCGATACTGACTGCCTCATTCTTCCATACGAATATATTGCCTTGAAGGCTAGCAATTTAAGCAGCTCGAGGCAGTACTCCATATGAGATATTCCAAGTATAGGCTTGAATCTCGATGTTAAGTCATGAGATCAATAGTATGTTTGTGTGTAAGAGTCACATGTTCTACTTATTGATTTGTATGTTGAAATCAACTTTAGCTGTTCAGGTTCAGATCAAATTGATTGCTGTAGGTTTGTAACATAAAATAAGAAGACTAATACTGATCAGATTATATTCAGACCTAATGCTCTTGCCTTGGTCGGTAACAAGTATAATGCCTCTCTGAGTTATGTTTCTGCTTGAATGCATCCGTGTTGATGAAAGTTTGTGTTTCTCAGAGAGCAGCTTAAAAACTGTATTTCACAGTATTGTTATATTTAAGTCACGCCTTTTTAACTACCTGCAATTATATTGAGTAGTAGTGTTTGATACCTCATTGGAGTTAACTCTGTCTGACTATCTGTCATTCACTCATTTGGCAGGGTGACCCTCTGAAGGTGAAAGTCAACAGACTGGCTTCTACTAGAACTCAACTTCCTTATTCATATTATTCCCTTCCTTACTGTAAGCCAGATCGCATTGTGGACAGTGCAGAAAATCTTGGCGAGGTTCTTCGGGGTGACCATATTGAAAACTCTGTTTATGAGGTACACTACTTTTTTAATGATGATTGAAATCCGTGATGTCCCTAAATTGTTAAAATTTGGTCTAACAATTGCGTTTTTCTTGTAGGTGTTTATACAGTGTTAGCTAAAAAAATCATTAATTTGATATTATAAGCTCAATAAAATTGGCATTCGTTGGAAAGATATTTAAAATATGAATTCAGCGCTATATCAGGTTTAAAATTCTCTAATTTTGACTAAAACTTTATTCATCATTTCTACGATTAAAAATAAACACTTTATTTTTCAGTTTTAACACGTTATTATTTTAAATCAACATGGAGGGGCTAATTATAGTGCATTCAAAGTTTTTTATTTTTGTAATTAATTATTAACTCATACTCCCTCCGTCCCAAAAAGAATTGGACGGTTTGACTTTTTGGGAAATTAAGGGAGGGATATTTTGGTATTGACTTTCCAAAAATACCCTTGATGTAATGGGTAAAAGTAGGATGTGATGGGTGGATTATTAGGAAAAAGGTATGATGTGATAGGTAGGGTATGAAAAAGTAAGGGGTAAAAGTGGTTTTTTAATAGAAATGTGACGGACTTTACAGGACGCAGTTTTTTCTAAACGTAACAAACTTTTTAGGACGGAGGGAGTACTTAATAATTATCCAGTCATCATTTAAAATACTATATATTCAACATAGTTGGCATCCTGGAGTATTGATGTGAAATTGAATAATTTCTGGGAGTAGTGGTGTACATTATTGAATTTCGGAGTATTAACGTAAACTCACAAATTTCTTTGAGTACTCGTGTGAATTTTTCCCTAGAATTAACACTTCACACACATTCTGGGAGTTGGTTGCTTGATATTTCATAAAGTGAGTAAACTATCTCAAAGAATTGTTCATCACCGGTGCTACTCCTACAATCACTTATCCTGGGGTTGATTCACAGGTAAGTTAATG